CAGGGCCAGCGGCTGCAGCATTCCTTTCGTCTACCTGGTGCCGTATGCTCTGAGTTCCGGAGTCAGCCACCAACACGCTGCCTTCCTCATGTCCATCCTGGGCATCATCGACATCGTGGGGAACATCACAGTCGGCTGGTTGACGGATCGCAGGTCGGATGATGATGGCTCTTTTTTACAAACTCTGTTTTCGATACATTGTTTTGGTTTTAATACTGAGATTTTAGTGGCTAACTTTTAGTGTCTCTTGGCTAACACTGCGTTGCTCTTCAGGTGTGTGAAGCCGTACCGCCTGGCCTGTTACAGTTTTGCCATAGCCATGGAAGGTCTCTGCTGCCTCTTGGTTCCGCTGCTTCACTCGTTTCCTCTCCTTGTCCCCTTCGCTGTCCTCTATGGATACTTCGACGGTGCCTACGTAGCTCTGATCCCTGTAGTGACATCGGATGTGGTGGGAGCACCGTACCTGTCCTCAGCGCTGGGTGTGGTCTACTTCCTCCACGCCATCCCCTACCTCTTAAGCCCACCCATCGGAGGTAAGGCTAGAGAAGCTAACATCCTGTTACCAACAACGTCACAATTGGCAAAAGAATAAAACCACTGTATGAGTTGCTGCCCCCTAGTGACTGGAGGCTTGTTATCCTTCAAGCGTTACAGCAGTGGTACACCACTGTGCCATATTCCATTGGAAGCTCCTCACGCGTCCCCTGGCACCTTACAGTGCCCCCCCCCCCCCCCCCCCCCTCCCCCCCCCCCCACCCCCTGCACAACCAGGCTGTCAGTGAGCAAAATGTTAGCACAGAATTATCTAAAACAACGACATGGTCCAGATGTTGCAATGATTCATCCAAAATAAAAATATAGGGATCGACTCAGGTCCTGGGAGACACAGGACAAACTCAGAGGACATTTATTATGGTAAATGAAACTCCTGAAACATCAGCTTTAAAAGAGAAATAAGTTGAGATTTCCTGATCCTAAGGTGAAATCAAATTCATGCAAAACCCTGAAGAACACCTGTTCTGGTCTGCATGAGCATCTCATAACAGATAACAGTGCTGTTAGCCTATTGGCCGGTTATTATTACATCATGTTTTTGGGACACAGATCAAAGAGCAGCTATAGTACCACAAACAGAGTTCACACACAGATCACTGACTGGTCAGCACAGCTGCCTGATGTTTGTTCTGCTGGGACACAGGCAGCTAAAGCACTGTTGTGTTACCTTTAGCTACCATTAATAACACTAAATGTTAAAGACTGCTAATTTATCAACTCCACTGGTTAAATATTAACTACTTTGTTTTTGGTCGTTAGCATTTTAACTTCACAACACAGAACTGCTGGCTAAATAAACGTCCAGAGAGAAAAATGACTGATTCACATAAAGCTTCTATGTTAAAAAACATCTGACCAGATCAAGCTCAGTACTGACCACAGGAGGCGCCAGTGGACCAGCAGCTGCTGTGTCCCTGTGAGCTGAAAATCACTGTTTTCTCTATGAACGCTGCTGTTAGCAAAATGAAAATGCTAATCACATGAAGCTAGTGAAAGTCATTGCTTTGGCAGCATCCAGCAGGGACCTTTGTTCTCACTCCTCTTATTCTGTGTTCTACAGGTTGGCTGGTTGACATCACCCAAAGTTACAGCGCCACCTTCTTCCTCAGTAGCGCCACCCTGCTGGCCAGCGCAATAATTTTGTTTACAGCTGTTACTGTACGAAACTGGTGTCGTCATTCCCGTGGACAGAAAGCACAAGACCCTCCCCCTGAGCCAGTCTGAACCAATCAGACTGTATGTCCTATGACTTCTAAGTTTTCACAAAATGGACCAACCAAATGTATCGACAGGACACAGAAACAAGGACGGGGAAGGTTATTAGTTAAATTGTTTGTCTGCAAACGCGCACACACACAGGCACACAGACAAAGCTCAGGTTGCTGGTACGATACCACAAAAGTGACTCGACATGCAAACAACAACTGTACCTTTGTACTGTAGTAACTAGACAAGATACTGAGAGATCAGTAGAAGTTTTCTTTCCAAAAACGTATTATATTTTTTTGTTGTGAGGTACTAGATTAGCATGTGCTAAGCCATGCTGTCACAGTGGGTGCTTTACAGTTGGAGGCTAGCAAAAACGCTGGTTAACTATATTTTTGTTGTGTTGTTTGTTATAGCTTTTCGTATAGGAAGAAGAAATACTGCTTGACACGACGACAGAGACAACAACAATAAAGTTAACATTGTGAATTGGCAGACGTGGAGGCACAAACACTACCTCAGACTGGTAGCACTAGCAACGATTGTTACCAATCCCAACAGTCTTGCGAGAAGTGTCGATACTGATGTTTCTTTTCATTTTCGTTGGGTTGCCCCTGTTAGCTAGCAGTGGCCATGTTTAGCCCTACAGCTAACCATGGCTACATTATTTCTTCAAACTGATTGCGGGTACAAATTCCTGGCTGCTAAGAGTAGCAACCAGACCTAGCAAAGGTCTGTTATAAAAAATATTTTTTCAAGTGTACATGCTTTAGTTATATAATACGTTACATTGTTTTTTTGGGTCACATTTATGAAGGTTACATGAAAAAAAGACAACATTGTTGTCACATTCTGCTACTTTCAAAATAAAAACTGCGGTTTTACATTAGAACATTGACAGGAAGTGTCATGAAGCTGTTACAGATGTTCACTCCCGTCGGATGGGAAACATCAGAAAATTCAACCGTCACTTTGAGACGACTGACAGTGTGATGTAATGCCAAACTGCCAGCTGTCTTTTAACCTGTCATCGGTCACATGATCAGTATTGTTTTTGTACATCTGGCATTGAGGCCAGAAGTGTCAAACGTGGAAATGAGATCATGTGGATTAAAGGAACCGTCTTGGAAAAAATTGCATTTTCTGTTTGTTGTATTTAATCAAGAAAAATTATTTTGACCCTTTCAAGGCACCATACATGAAAATGAAGCCGATGAGGAGGCGGGGCATCACATTTATTTTCAACCAATGAAAAAGACCCGTCAGTGTTTATTCTTCCCGGCGACAAAAGCTCTTCAGACAAAAACTGTACAATTTAAGAATCAAATAATAAAAAACTGTGATGTCATCACCCAGTGACGTCACTTCCTGCAGGTTTTGGAGCGCAGCTGTCTCCTGATGATGGTGTGAGCACTCTCCTTCTCCTCCTCCGCTGCTGTAGACTCCTGGTCAAAAGAAAAGGTTGAGAGTTTTTCCTGAGAGGACATGAAAAGACTGCGGTGGATGCCACTGTCCCACGGCCACGGACATCAGCCTTACCGTGTTTGGAGATTTGAAGAGTGGAGACACCGTGTCCACCTTGTAAAGTTTCCTCCGTCCTCGGCGTGGTTTGGTTTCCCGCTCCGCAGAATGTCCACTGACCAGACCCATGATGGTCTTGGCTGTGGAGGAGACAGGAGGACGTCACAGAGAGCTGAGGGACTCTGGTGGACATCTGTCCACCGACTCACCACTGAGACTGTTGAATTTCCATACTGACAGACTATCGACTGTCGAGATGGAATTGTTTATTTTCTCTCATTTTTATTCTGAACGTTTGATGAAGGTCAAAGTTCAATAAAACCAAGATACTTCAGGTTACAGGATCTGTCTCTACCTTTGCTGCTGAGGATGGAGGGCGAGCTGTGGAGCAGGTCTCCGATCTTCTGGAAGGCTCCGTCCTTCCTGTCCTTCACTGGACTGGGGACTGAGGACTGGGCACCCCGAGAGAAACACAAACAAACAAACACACACAAACACAGCACCTTTTTATGAATATTATTTCGGTAACTTTAACACTTAACACCTTAACTTTGTGCATTTAAAGAGGACTTTCTTTCTGCTCTCACTCACCGGTGTTTTGGTGCCAACTTTATCTCTCACCCTGTTCCTCTTGTTCTCACTGAAAACAAGATCCTGGAAGAGACAGGCACAGTCAGAGAGAGGGAGGGACGGCGGGAGAGAGAGAAAGAGAAAAGGGGAAAGGACAACATACACACCTCTACCTCATTGCTCTTCCTCTTCCTCCCTATGGTTTTATTGGTCTTCTTCCTGTCAGTCATGTTGGACCTCAGAGGACAGACAGGGACATCCACCTGACACAGACAGAGACAGACGTTGAAGTCCAGAAATAAAGTTGTCAGTTTGTGTCTCATGTTGATCTAGTTGAAATGAACGCCCCCTCTATGTGTTTATGTAGAGATCATTATTAGATCCCCAGCTCTGTGAATCTGACCTTTGTGACCTCTGTGACCTTGTCTCTCTGCAGCCTCTCGATCTCTTTCTTCACTGCCTTGTACTCCCTGTTCTTCTCCTCCTCCTCCTCCACCTCCTCCTTGTTGCCCACTAGTCGCCTCCTCTCCTGGAGTCTGTTCATCTCCTCCTTCAGCTCCTCCACCACTGTCACCACCCTGTTCTCCTTCTGTTGCTCCTGCAGCTCTGATGGACGATCACATCACAGTCATCACATTATTGTTATTCCTCCCACAGAGAGCCCCCCAGATGACCTGTCTCACACAGAGGACACGTTACCTTGTCTTAGTGTGTCCATCTGACTCAGAGTCTCTGACACAAGTTTGTCCTTCTCTGCCAACAGTCGCTGGAGCTCTGGGACACAGAGACAATGGGACATGGAGTCAGAGACAAACGGACATGGAGTCAAAAAGTCTCTGTCTGTATCTGTCCCTACATAGACTTCCTCACCTTCCCTCTGTCTCTCCTCCTCCCTTCTCTTCTCCTCCTCCGACACCCTCATGTCCTCCAGGCGTCCTTGGAGCGTTCTGCCCTCTGATTCCAGCTCTGCCCTCAGTCGACTGAATTCTGCTCTCTGATTGGCCAGCTCCTCCGTGAGCTCGGCACAGCGTCTTTCACTGTAGAAGTTTAGAGGTCGTTGAGGAAATGAGGAGGGAGGAGACATGGTGGTCACACGGGGGTTTTAGAAATAAAGACCAAAAACAAAAGGGAACATGGTGGTTTTTAGAAATAAAGACCAAAAACAAAAGAAGAGGAGTCAGAGGAGGGAGGAGAGGGAACCAAACTGTCAGTGCTGGCCATCAACCATACACTCCTAACTATCAATAAGCCACTGAGCAGTTAGAGGAGCACCTGAGAGACAGCGCCTCCTGCAGGCAACTCCTTCCTTGCTGAAGATCCTGAATTTGCACAGATTTGTCTGTGGACTGCTGCAGAGCCACGGCACTCTCCTTCCTCAGCTCCTCCATGATGCTGTGGAAGGTGTGGGAGCCTCGCTCGTCCTGCCCCTGATCGACCAATCAATCAATCAATAATCAGCTCAGTGTCAGCATGGATGTATCTGTGACTAGTCAGTCTAATTACTGTCGACACTCACTGTCACTTCCTGTTTTAGGTTGTCTCTCTCCTCTGTCAGACTGACGACGGCTCTGTTCCTCTCGTCTGATTGGTTTTGCACTATTTGGAGGCGGGACTCTGCAGCAGCCAGCTGTTCTGATAGGCCATCACAGCTTTCACGCTTCTCCCTGAGCTGCGTCTGAAGACTGTTCACCTGATGAATGAAACAAAGAGGACAAGAAGGAGGTGAAGGAGGAGTTAATGAAGTAGCAAAGTATCAGGAGCAGAAGGAGCAGGAGGAGCAACAGTACCTGGTTCTGCAGCTGGAACATCCCGTTCACCAGAGCTTTGTTTTCCTTCACCAGTCTGGAAACTTCCTTCTGCTCCGCCTCCAGGGATGAAAACACGGAGGCGCAGTTTGAACACACCTCCTCCTGCTCCAGGTCTGAGAGGTGCAGAGGAGGACAAAGTAGTTTCTTCATTTTGTTTAATTGGATGGTCTCCACGTTGTGAACTCCAGCTCCTACCTGTTAGCTTCTGCTGCAGCGACGCCTGCTCTTTCTTTAGCTCCTCCACCTCCTCCTCCCTCCTCCTCAACTCTGTCTGCACATCCTCTTCACTCCTCCTCAGCTGTGCCTCCCTCTCACTCAGCTGGGCGATGGTCTCCTCCTTCCTCTCGTTGTCTTCCTGCAGCCTCCAGATCTCCTCCTCCAGGATCACTGAGGAAAATGTTTTATTAGAAACCTTGTTCCTCATAAACACAGCTCCTCCTTCAGCTCCTCCTTCTAAGGTTGCTCCTTCTACCTCTCTTCTCGGCCCCGCGTCCAGTGTCCTCAGTGCCCGCATCCTGTCGTGGGCGTTTCCTGCTCTCCTCTTCCCCTCGTCCACAGCAGCAGTTCTGCTTGAGGTCCAGAAGCTCAGACCTGAGAGTCTCCACCAGAGCTCTCTGAGGAGAGAACACCTCGTCAATAACCAACAACCAACAACCAATAACCTGACCAATCCTTCACAGGAGAAGTTAACCAACAACCTGACCAATCCTTCACAGGAGAAGTTTTTTTATTGATCATCAGTTTACGTCTCTGGTTGTGTCCTCCAGCGTCTGGTCCATGGCGGCCTGCAGCCTGGTGATGATGTCATCTTTCTGCAGACACATCTCCTTCAGCTCCATCAGCTTCTGTCGCTGCTGCTGCAAACGCTGCAGGTGAAAATCCACACGTGAGGTCATGTGACCTCGGTCACGTCAACATGTCCATTCTGACGTCCAAACACCAACCACCGTGTTGGACAAAAATAAACCCTGATGATCACAGAGTTTCTACTCTACCTCATTGGCCTCCTGCAGCTGGTCATGTGACTGCTGCTTCTCCAATCGCAGAGCCTCCAACTCTGCAGGGAGAGGATAGAGTGGGGTCAAAGTTCAAAGCACAAGAGCCATGTACCTGAGGGGTGTGTGTGTGTGTGTTCATGTGTGTGTACTCAAGGTGTGTGTGTCATCCATCAGACAGTGGTGAACACTCTCAGCATCTTCTCTGATCTTGCCCAGGTCTTCCGTCATGGAGCTGATCAGCCTCTCCAACACAGCCGTGTCCTGAGGTGGTGATGTGTGTGTGACCTTGTCACTCTCCTTCTCATCAGCTGATTGGTTGACAGTTTTGTTGAACAGGTTCTTCAGAATCTCCAGTCTTTTCTCTGCTCGCTCCTCCAAGATCTCCTTCTCCCTCTCCAGACGCTCGCTAACACACTCAGACACACACGTTAGGCTCACACACAGACAAAACCACACCGAGCTCCTGCTGCGTCAGGTCACATGACCATGATGTCACCCACCTGTAGTCTTTCTGCATGTTTCTAAACAGCTCCATGAACTCCGCACTGACCTCCTCTCTGATCTGAGTCTCCAGAACCAAACGCAGCGCCGCCTGGTGTCCGGACTGCACACACACATAAACAACAGCCAAATTAAAGCTAAAGAAAGGTCAACAGCAGCCACATGGCTAATTACACTCATCTGCAGTTGGCATAAAGAGTCAGAGATTACACGCAGGTTTATGTCAAGAAAACGTCAGAAGTATAGTTAGCCTGTAGCTAGCTTCAAATGGACAATTACAAAGCTAAGATGTGTAAATAACTGGAGTTAAAAAAGTCATTTAAACTGTAACCAAACGTCAGCAACATCCTAGTGGTACACAGCTGAATGCTTTCTAAAAGAAGTTCCTCCTGCCTTCTGCTCTTCCTCCATGGTCCGGTCCTCCTCTTCCTCCTCCTCAGCACCTGCCTCCAGCACGGTTCCTTCCAGCACGCTCTCCTCCTCTTCTTCCTCCTCCTCCTCCTCCATATCATCTTCTTCTTCATCCTCGTCCTCCAGCACGTCCTCCAGCGTGGTCTCCCAGGCCATGATTGAGCTCCTCCTGCCCCACCTTGTAACGTTTTTGCCCTCCTGGTCATCAATGACCATCGACAGTTCCATTGCTGACTTGTTGGAGGAGGCGTCTGGAACCACGGGCCTTGCGTTCAACACCACCACCTGGATGGAGACGTC